ATTTGTTATCTTTTAATTACAAATTCGAAATTCATTTAACTTTATTAAAAAAATTTCTCCCTAGGAAAACCACTTCCTTGCGTGATACACATTTAGTTCTAAAATCATTTAAAATTTAAAATCATAGGGTATTGATATACGGTTTGGATAATTTAAAAGTAATACTGATCACTGTAACTGAAATGTGCCATCTTTTTAAACCACAAACAAGCACGAAAGTAAAAATTACTAATAGCTAGTAGTAAATCATGTTTATCTAATTTTGGCTTAGCATTTACCTCTGCAGTATGATAAACTATCACTAATGTTCATAAAATGGCAATACTTAACACAATGGGCCAGTGAACAGTAATTGAAAAAGAAAAACATACATACGATGTTTCCGGTGATAGGACGTCATCGGATGTCCGGTACTTCATCAGATGGGAAAGAAAAAAAAAATGTTTCAAATATTATATGAGTGCGTTTATACATACAGTGTAGAGTTCATAATTATCTATTTTGTAGTAAATTTTATGTTTTCTTCAGATACTAATATATTTCTTACAGCATCTTACAACATCTAATAATTTCATCGCTGGAAAATGGCAAAATTCGCTACACGGCTGAGGGCTAAAATCATGAAATTTCGCAAAGTTTTCGAGGTTTGTTATTTATTCTAATACTAGTGAAAGTACCCGATGCCAGTTAAGTTAGATTGAGAGTACTGCATCTAACAACAGAGAGAACGATACCGCTGTAATCCTTCTCTAATAACGATGCAAAATATACGATTCGTTGTCATATATTTTTCAGTCTGTTGCGATATTTAACCCCCATAAAAAATTCTATAGAAAAATAAACTAATTCTCTCTCATTATATCAGCAACAACGGCACGCAGTTTGCAATGATTTTCGTCTTTCTAATCAAATGGTCGTAAAACGTTCAAGTTCCATCCAATATTTCACTTATATTCAATTTTAGTCGATTAAATGTGGCAAAAAAATTAGCATAACTAATCAGAAATCAATAGCGCGAACAAACAAAGAAATACACAAACAGACATTCCTCTTTATATGTACAGATTTTGTAAAAATCACAAATTTTGATTAACAAACTTTACAGTTTGAAAGAGAGCAGTAGGAACATTTTTCGAAATAAAGCATTTTTATCTCCAACGTTCCAGACTGTAGCCACACGGAAAAATGAGTGCGAAAATTAGTGTTTTCAGAGTTTTTAATTATAATATCTCGTATGATTGAAGTCGTACGAAGAGGGAAACAGTCGAATGCCTTCCCAAGAAACTTTGGAATCGGGAATAATGAATTGAATGTTTGGAAATGCTATTTTTATTTCATCGTAAAATTTAGAAATTTTTTATTAACAAATTCTGCGATTGGAAAACGAGCAATGGCAACACTCCTCGAAATAAAGCAAATTTTTATATACAGCTTGAGAGACTGTTGCCACTCGGAATACATGAGGGCGAAATTTAGCGTTTTCAAAGCTTTTAATTAATATCTCTGATTTAAGCAATTTCTTTTTAGTCTAAAAGGGCTTTGTCCCTGAAGGACTACTGTTTTCGTTTTGCGATTTTGCGTTGGTTCACTATAAATGTCCGTTTCCCTTTTCAAACTGTTGCTACCAATGTTAGAGTCCTGCATTATATTTGAAGAAATTAAATAATGAAAAATCTGCATAAATGTATGTATATTTCTCGCATTGTGATCGCATTATGATAAAACAACGGTACATAGAGCCACCGAATTTTTAATGACATAATCCTCCTACAAATATGGGCATGTGGAAGCCCAAATTTGAAATTTGGAATTCGTTTTATTATCGATTTCGTATTTTGTAAAACTTTGACGAATTTTTGGTTAACAAACTCAAAGATTTCAAAGCGAGCAATGGCAACGTTGTGCAGAAAATTTTTTATCTCCGGTGCAGGAGACTGCGTATCGTAAATTCTAGAGATATGCTCAATTTTAAACTATTTTGCGATATTGCTCTTGAACTGAATTTTATGCTTTAGTGCGAAAAACCGTTGAGAAATACCCAACCTGGAAAATTTTTTAAATTCAAGGGACTAAAAACCGTGCGTCGTTGCAGTATTTTTACTAGTGCTAATAACATGGGCTAATAAAAAAGGGGGGTGGGATGAGAGAAGGCTTTTGATATAAGAACATCTGCAGTGCAAAGTGCAGCTGAAATAGCATTAATGTTTATGTTCAAAAATGAAAAAGGATACTGAGATATAGAATAAACTAATCTTTTCGGTGTTGCATAAGTATATCTTAATTCCTTAATTAACTAATTAGAGACTATGAATAAACAATTAACACAATCAATTAGTTACTATCTTTGCAAGTGAGATGAATTCATAAATTTTGCCTTCTCCGTTTTTTCAGTGTTAGATAGGTTCAGTGCTATAGAGGTAGAACACCTAAATCGAGCTACTTCACTGATAAAAATTCGTGTGCCATTGAATCGTCCCCCACCTTTTTTTACCTGAACGGTACATACATTGCATATTGAATAAATATTTTAATTATTTAAGATAAATTAAGGTGCTTAAGATACATAGAACTTCTTGTTTTATTTATGTCTCTAACCTTTTCCCGTGGGCTATAGAGGCCAATTTCGAACGTATTATGGCCATTTAGTTATTTATTTTAAATGAAAGGAACAGAAAAACAAATCGACAGGGTCTTGCACTTCCTAATTCATATTAAGGAGCAAATTTTAAATCTCCATAGTTTACTCAAATTTCTTGAGATACATTTAAAGTAGTGAAAATGCGGGGCATATACGTCCCAGCCCCCTGGAAAAGACTGAAAGGCAATGTGTTAAAGAAATAAGTTAAGAAAATCAATATTTTTCACTTCATTCAGTGCCAATGTGTACGGCAATAATAAAACATTTAACAACGAAGCTTCTAAAAATAATGATAAATTTCTCTTAAAATTCCTGTCTTTGTCATGCATTTATCGCTAACAATTTTTATCCACATATTGTTAGCGATAAATGCATGACATTGTTCGTTAGCCCAGATGGGCTATTAACTTTTTTTGGCATTTTGTGGAGTTTCACTATAAACGACGTTTCACTTTTCAGATCGCCTTGTGTTATAGTTAAAAAAATCAAATAATGAAGAATCTGCATGAATGTATATATGTTTCTCGCATTGTGATAAAATAACGGTACCTAGAGCCATCCAGTTTTGAATAACGTACGTCTCCACCCGAATATGGGTATCTGGAAGCCCACATATGGAATTTATTATGTATATTTTATTATCTACTTCATATTTTATAAAGTATTTATGAGTTTTGATTAAGAAAATCGACGATTTCAAAGCGAGCAATGGCAACACTGTACGAAGAAAAAACTTATCTCCAGCGCGCGAGACTGTGTATCGGAAATTCTGAAGATATGCTCTTTTTAAATTATTTTGTGATATTGCTGTTGAACTGACTATTATGGTTTAAGTGCGAAGAACATGATATTTAATAAATAAAGGTAACACACAAAAAGTTAAAAAATGCCCCTTTTTGCGTAATATAAAATCTAAAAACTTTCAGATTTTTTTAAATATTTTAAGCTATTTTTTATATGCACTTAAAATTGTCTTCTAGAATTTTTCATTAAGTTTATATTTAGCTAATTTCAGTATTATTTTCAGGTCCCAATTTTTCTGTCAATGAAGTAAGGTGCATATACACAGAAGACTTATTATGGCTAGGCAGCAGTTAAAAAACTAGCAGTTAGTCATTTCTCACTACAGTTTTAATGGCATTTTTTTTTTTCAAATGAATTATAATAAAAAGAACGGTAATAAAACTTTAATGAATTTAATATTATAATGCATTAAAATTAAATAAACGAATAATTTTATTAATTGTATTTAATAAAATTTCAGCTTAAAAAAGGTGCTGAGCTCAAATACTTAAAAGGGAAATACAATGAATGCACAGAACTGCTTTTCTTTTATTCCTACCCCCATTTTAGTCTTAATTCAATCCTTGAACGAAAAGAAAGCAGAATATTTTTGACGTTATTTTTGTTTATGCCGCTAATTTAGAGAGAAAAAAGGTTAGCTAAAGTTCTTTAAGAACAGGAAATTTTATGGAAGTTTCTTTTCTTTCTACTTTTCTTTCTTTTTTTATTTATTTTTTTTTTATGAAATATAGTTAATTTATTCAGGTTTTTAATGAGAACTAATTTAAATAACGGAATAAAATAACGTTTCTTACCTTGTTATGAAAGCTGAAAACTTTCGGATATCTAAATTTTATTATTCTTGAATGTGAACTGTTTTTTCCTATGGTGACTGTACTTGTGTGTGTTTCAGTTTTAAAAGAAAACGAGATCATTCTCTTTAGTCTCCAGAATATCGCAGAATCTTTCACTTACTTTTACCTGATTATTATGCATTATAAAAAAGGGTTTTTTGTTAGATAGTAGGGTCTAGAAAGATAAGCTTACTGAGTTTTTCTACCTTTTTTTTATTAGAGATTATTAAACGCAGTTGCAATTTAATTTTTGTATAATATTCCAAAGTAACTTACGCCTATATTTACTTATAATAGTATCTTGTTTTGAGACATTTTCTAAGCTATTGCACAATTGAAATTTAGTGGGATAACACCATTTAATACAGCAACTAGAAAAATTCACGATCAATGTAATATAACGTAAAAAATAAGTAAAAAGTGTTATATAGGGTCTCGTATTTAGCATTTTCACCATTTTTTATTTGTTTATTTAATTATTTTGCAAAGAAAATCTTCACTATAACTGCTTTTTCCTGCTTATCTCAATGCTATTAATGGCATCATAGCATTGTGTGAGCATATCTCAGTGCTCACACATGAATGTAGGATATAAGGTTTAAAAGTTAAACTACTTAATTATATTTGATTTCCTTACAGTAATTAAAATATGCTAATTGTCTCCTGTTTATGTTTTGACAATTTGTTTGCATCTAATTAAGCTTTGTCCTTTTCTTTCGGAACAGACACCCTGTGGCCGACTCAAGGGGACGGCATGGCACCCCGGGGTAGCGGGGGCGCCTCGGGCAGCTTCCTCGCGGCGTATCGAGGCCCCGAAGTGCCCCTTCATCAGTATCCTCCGCCGGCAACCTGCGCCACCTACACGGCCAACCACTCCCCCGGTGTGCCCTACTACAACACAGGCCGCTACACCGTCAGCCCAATGGCCGCCGTCTCCAACTGCGGACCTCTGGAAAGGTTACCCCCCGGTGCTATGGGATATCCAGGTAATTCGTTATTAATAATAAACATCATCCAGGTTAGATTATTATACTCCATAGAGTACTATGTATCTGTAAAAGCTTTCATAAACTTCTCAAGACTGCTAAAGCAAAAAGCGTTGAAATTTTCATTTCAAAGCAAGCGTGGTTCAAATTTTAATTATCTTAACTCTTTCCATTTTAAAGACGTATTCCCAACTTTTTTATCCCCGAAATAAAATTAATCTTAAGGGGTTGAAATAATGTTTGTGCAAAGGCATATTTAAGAAAACACCAGAACACCATCTAGTAAATACACAAGAATTGCTTTTAATTTTAGAAAGTTAGTGTAAAGTATACGATTAAATTTTTTTTTATTGTGGGGCAGTTTCTGTCATAAATAGTTTAAATGAGAGGATAATATGCAATTTTGTTTTCTGATACCTACTTATGTTTCAGCTTACAAAGAATGCATTTATTTCACATAATCCAGAGCTATGCTTAATCTTTTTTATTATTAGCCAGTTTATTTTGAACTGTAGATTGATTGATGGAAGGAAATTAAAATGTAAAATTTTGGCGTCTTTGGGAAAATCTATTAAAATTCACTGAAATCTGGATACTAAAAATTTCTTTATTCGGTTACAATAATAGAATAATTTATTAAATTGAATTTATTAACATGAACATATACTAAAATTTACATCAGGTTTTTCTTCAATAGCTCCCTGTAATCCCAAACAACAAAACTGCAATGAAAAATTTACAAAAACCACATTTCAATTAAACTTCAAAACTCTTTCAATGAAATAACTTTAATTTGAAAAATTTTTATAATAAAATGTTTAAATATATAAATGTATATTATGATTTTCTTTATTCAATAATAACAGAGTGACCACCTAATTTTTTTTTAATTTATATGCAGGCATTTTAATTGTTCATACGCAACTTACATGTAGATATTCGTTAACTTATTACTCTAATTATATATATTTTTACATACAAAAAAACATTATTACATTTTTTCATAATTTTTAACATTAAAAAATAGTAAAATCTGACGTTGATGTATGTATTACCTTCAAGAGATTTTGCAGTTGATTTCATATTTTACACTTATTCATTGTTATAGTTGGAAATATTCTTTTAACTGCTATTGAGGAATCAAGGACGCACAGCAGAGCTTTATTTAATATTGTTAAATTAGAAAACATTTGTTCTACTCAAATTTTCGTTGAAAATATTTTATTTCAAAATCGATGTGTTCTTGACCTTTTTCAGTACTTTGAGTAATATTCGCTGCCAATGTCTTTTATTTAAGAGCTATGGAAAATTTAAAGCAAAAGATATTACAATGTAAAAAAGTCTGATTTACACACTTCAGAATCTGGTATTGCTAAACTCTTTTGTGTAGGATTTTGAAAAATATTTTTTATAAGGACTAAGATTCATAACAGATGAAGAAGTATTACCTTCTAATGTCTTTGTCTGGATCATCGTATATAAATTCATTTTAGAAGATTTACATCAATTCATTTCAGAACTATCATTCCCGTTTCTAAATTTACTGAAAACTGAAGGCGGCGGAATTTATCTCTTCAGTTTCATCTGTGTTATTTGTATTACCTTAAGTTTTCGTAAAATATTTTAGGATCCTTTTTACTTCCTTGTACGAAGAAAAGGAAGTATACTAATCCCAAATTTCGGATATCGTATTTCAAAGAAAATATGCATTTCGACCGCTCTCGAATCTATTTAGACGATTCTTTTGCCCGACATCTGTACACATAGACAGAGTAAAGGGCTATTTTTTTCCAAAGCAGATTATAAAATGGATATAAAAATGGATTCAGAAGAGGAAACGGTAAAAAGGGCCGTAACCTCAGAAATGAAATATATATATATTAAAAAAACATTTTTGCTTTAAAAGTGATTCAATTATGTTATTCTTGTGTTCTAGTTAAGGATTTCATGCCCTTAGTTAATTTTCATCCAATAGTTGTAGAATTATTAACAGTTTAAAAGTTTAAGTGGCGCTAGGCCTAATGAGGCCGTTATTTGTTAATTTTTGACACTCTTAGTAGAATAGTGAATTACGTCAATTAGTGCACCAACTTCAGGGTCTTTTCACCTAGCGGAATCAAGTTAACTTTCAATTTTATTCACCGAAAACTTTGTCTTCCTGCCCGTTCGCCCAGATGAGCTCTAGAAGAATTCTCATAATTACAAAAATTGCTTTTTTAACTGTATGTCGTGTTTTAGGTTTTTTTGTATTTTTGCCTTGCTGCGAAGAAATATATCTTTATTATATCTAATATATTTTATTTATCTTTATCGCTAATAAAATTCAAGTAAATAAGCTTAAATGAAGTGCAGCAAAAATTGTGTATAATTTAATAAGCCGTACAAGGAAGTCATGTGGTGTCCACATCAGATTTTTAGTTTATAAACATTCAGTCAAAAACAGTATTGTAAACTTAAATTTAGTACAAGGTAGAGTGAATGTTAACAAGTGAAATTTGTTTTAATTAAAAATTTTGTAGAGTAGGGAAAAATTAAAACGGATTTGATTTATAAATACCATCATTGTCGCTTTCAAGAGGAGGTACAAATTTATGAGATATAAGTTTTAATTATCTGACGTTATTTTAATATTTTAGTTTATTTATTTATTTCGAAGGAAATGTGCTATATTTGATATTAAATGCACTAGAGAGCTAAAAAATTTATGAAAGATATTAAGTCTGGGACGAACGTCCTAGAAGCAATCACCCTGAACAGCAATAAAAAAAATTCTTTAAAACTAAACTAAGAAGGCTCATTTTGTTACATTTTATGGGCAACTAATTGTTGCCTATAAAAAAGAAGCAGTTACAATTTATGGCTGTGTTTCAATAAACAAGGGATTCGGTTTTTCAAAAGTAAGTCTAATGCTAAGTTATGGTTGTAGTGAATCCCGTAAATATTATCACTAAATAGTGTTAGAAAACTAACAACTAAGTAATTGCTTTAAACATCACTAACTGCCATTAAAATGGTGTCACTAATTTTGGATTAAATTAAAAAACTCTTCTGCATGAAATTTTTTAATTTTTTTTTTTACTACTCTAAATCTTGTAGGGAGTCAATTTCAATAGATAATACTAAAAACTGAATTATAGAATAATATAAAATTGGATTTTTATATAATTAGAATTTTTATATAATTTGCATAATTTCTATATTAATTTATAGTTTTATATAATAATATATCTAATTAGGGTAATAAGTTAACGAAATATCTACATGTAAATTGCGTGTGAATAATTAAAATATCTACATACAAATTTATGAACAATTAAAATGTCTATATATAAAACTGGATTCAGATACTTCCTTTTTTCAGTTCGTTACATTATTTCATCTATTTTTATTCGTCTACATAAATCTGAATTTTATTTAAAGCAAAGGTATCGAAAGTATTATTAATCATTTGCAGAGTATTTGAGCACCTTAAATGCTACGTTTTTAGACAAATGATGTTCTTTTTTTCTTTAATCTAAGAATATATTCGAAGGATGAAATAAGAGAAAAGTATTAAGACCGTACAACAAAATATGATCAATATTAACTCTCAAGATGATTCTGTATGAATTTCATAAATTTAAGCTAATTGAAATGTGATGTCTATTTTTTGCATTTATCTACATGAAAGTAAACTCGAGTTGTTTCTCTTTAAAAGAAATGGATAAACTTTAAGTCGGTATATGTATAAGATTAGAGGAAGTTCATAACATTAATATATTTGAAACCACGAAGTAAAGGAAGATGGAATAGCCTCAGTTCCGAAACTGAAATTAATTCTATCATTTATTTAAAAAAACTTTATTTTAAATAACTTGAGATACAGTACACATATTAATTCAAAACTCCTCAAGATAATCAAACATTTCAGATAAACACATACACACACATGTGTATTCAAGTGCTTGTTTTTATTTGATGAACTTCTGTTGCAATTTAAAAAATAAATGATTATTAAATGCCTTTCCATATTATTTTTTAAAAACTTATTAAAGGTTTGGTAGCTTACAGTAATTTTATTAAAAATGCTTTAAAATGAAGTAATAAATCATCTGGCTTAAATACTCTTCTTGTATACCATTTTCAAAATTACTTTTTGTTCCAAATTATTATTTACATTGGACCCCCCAAAAAAGGAGGGACTCCGACATTTTATGATTTTTGATAGACTACTTATTTTTTGTAGATAAACAAAACATGCATACTTTAATTTATTAGGTTAAATTATTAAGTTCCTATTTTTATATAAATATACAGAATTTACTGATCCATGAAAGAAAACTAGTTTTTAAAATATTCGAATTTTAAATAAAGTAGTTTAGAATGAAGGGAAATCGATATGTAAGTAACTCGCTGATATTTCACATCAGCCAACTGCCGAAACTTAATTCGACTGTCTTGAAAAAAATTAATTAATAAACTTTATTCATCGAAATAAGTTTTCTAGTTCCTGTTGCAGATTAGTAGATAAGAAGTTCGAAGCAACCTAAACCAGAACAGGTCATTATCAGTTGATCTCGCTGAATATCAATATCTCGCTGAACTTCTTTCAACGTGGCAAATCAAACCATTTGCATAATTCCTTAGTGTAATGTAATGAAATTATTATCTTTTTTAGTTAGTTAAGTTTACATCACTTCATATTTACGAAAAACCTGCTGTAGTTTCCGATTTACAAAAGGAATTCGGAGAGCATTTTCTTTTTTACGAAAAAAGACAGAGGTGAAAATAGCATTCACTTTTTGTTCTATGCATTAGCTAAAGAATAATACGATTTTAATTATGAAACAATAGACAGGTGTAGAACAGTTTTACAGGATATTTTGATTACCTACAGCGAACTATATGGTATGGGAGATGTGCTATTCTAAGCAGTTACGCATACTATCTAACTTGAAGCCATCAGTCACAAGAGACAAATCTCGAATTTCGAATTGAGGCTGACAGACAGAGAATATGTA